TTTTGTAATCGCTTTTTGTGGAACACTTGATGCGGCCCAGTCTCACTCAGACTCTACCTCCTGCGGCCCAGTCTCACACAGACTCTATTTTCTGTGGCCCAGTCTCACTCAGACTCTACCTCCTGCGGCACAGTCTCACTCAGACTCTACCTCCTGTGGCCCAGTCTCACTCAGACTCTACCTCCTGCGGCACAGTCTCACTCAGACTCTAACTCCTGCGGCCTATTCTCACACAGACTCTATTTCCTTTGGCCCAGTCTCACTCAGACTCTACCTCCTGCGGCACAGTCTCACTCAAACTCTACCTCCTGCGGCACAGTCTCACTAAGACTCTACCTCCTTCGCCCCAGTCTCACTCAGACTCTACCTCCTGCGGCCCAGTCTCACTCAGACTCTACCTCCTTCGCCCCACTCTCACTCCCACTCTACCTCCTCCTGCCCAGTCTCACTCCGACTCTACCTCCTGCGGCACAGTCTCACTCAGACTCTACCTCCTGCGGCCCATTCTCACTCAGACTCTATTTCCTTTGGCCCAGTCTCACTCAGACTCTACCTCCTGCGGCACAGTCTCACTCAAACTCTACCTCCTGCGGCACAGTCTCACTCAGACTCTACCTCCTTCGGCCCAGTCTCACTCAGACTCTACCTCCTGCGGCCCATTCTCACTCAGACTCTACCTCCTTCGGCCCAGTCTCACTCAAACTCTACCTCCTTCGGCCCAGTCTCACTCAGACTCTACCTCCTGCGGCCTAGTCTCGCTTAGACTACCTCCTGCGGCCCATTCTCACTCAGACTATACCTCCTGCAGCCCAGTCTCACTCAGACTCTACCTCCTGTGCCCTCCGGATAATGTGAGTTTGAGACCCCTGCTCTACTGCGAAGTGAGACAACACACCTTCACTTACCCAAGTTGTCATGGATGCACAGGGGCGGACCCATATTCAAGTGCAAAAATTTGCATACTTTGAGTATGTGAAGTTGTAAAATTATTCCTCACATGCAGAAAAAAAAATGTTTGATGGGGAGTAAAGAGAGGTTAAGGGGTGGGGAGCTATGTGCCTTGGCGGAGGAGATTATTTCAATGCACGGTTTTCTGCATCCACAAAATAATATTTCCTTTCTCAGAGTACCGAAATTCGCCCTATTTCCGCCCCTGTCTCCAAACATTTCTCAGGTGGGTGAGAATAACCTGCGCTGCTGAAGTGCAACGCCCTGGCTGATGCCATCCATCATGAGAAACTATTTGCGTGTTATTGTAACGCCATGACCGCTGGTTTATTCGCACTTAATCCACCCCTTCACCAGCCCCCCCCCCCCACCTCTCTCTCTCTCTCTCCCTCTCTCTCTCATTTCAAACCTCCAAAATTAGAAAATGAACAGTCAGGATACATTCCTTCCTAGACCAGTGCCCCCTCGACTGAGGCGTTGAAATATCTGCCGTTGATAGATGAACTGAAGTGTGTCGCAAGTACAGGAAGCAAGGCTAGTCATAACAGGAGTGGTCCCGGGGGCAGGGCGACAAGTGGGACGGAATCATGTAGTGGGGTCTGGGGGGAGGGGGGGCATCTTAAACACAAAGGAAAACTTAGACAGTTGCAGTGTGTTGATTCCCAGGACAGCTGGGGGGGGGGTGTGGAAGATGTAAACAAACAAGAAAACTCAGCGAAACATAGAAATCAAATTGACCGACTCCGGATTCCCGACTTAATCTCCGACATGTTAAGAAACGTAGCAGGTGTTAAAAATAATGAGGGAATTGTGGGTCATTGAAATACAAAATAAATGAAAACTTATGAAACAAAGTTTTATTTTGAATATAAACGACAGAACCCCCGAACCACCCCCCCCCCCCAAACACACACACACTTTCGATGAAAATTGAGTTCAATAAAATAGAAAGAAATTGAGGAGTGGGTCCCAATGCGGAACTTACGAGGTACTAAGCCGTCTTCTTAATTGAGAACCCTTGCATGTCTGGACGTCAGGTCGCTCAACCCGACTGCCGTGTCCTCACATGACCAGCGAACTAACGAATAGAAAGAAAACACTCGAAATTACTTGACATTCAGTGCACTCAGTATGGACCAATCAGAAGCTTCCACCTCTCATTTGAATTTTTTGTTATAATAATAAATCAATCTATTTAAAAAAAAATAAATTTAAGGCCATTGGGGGCCGGGGGGGGGGGGGGTGGTATATATATTTATATATTTAAAATTTTGGCGCAAAATAAATTTAGGGCCATGGGGGGGCGGGGGGGGGGGGTTGTATATATATTTATATATTTAAAATCTTGGCGCAAAATCTGAAGAGTAAAGGCATGCAAGTAACTAAATCCATAGAGCTTAGCACATGTTCTAAACCAGTCCAGATGATCTTTGAATGATTTTAACGGGTTCCGTCTCCTAATGTCACAATTCCACAATCGTCAACTGATCCAAACAACTGAACAAAGACGTGCATCAAACATGTGTTTTTTTCTTGGTGAATTCCCAAGCAACAGCCATCATTTAGTGTACACATCCCGGTGCATACAGCCATTTGGTGCAGACATCGATTAACGTCATACATCTTCTGGGATAACGAACCAATCATGACGTCCCAGGTTTAAATCATATTATTATCTCACAAAAAATAGATATTGCCTTTTACCGTGTCGTTAGATTTCACCCAATCTTCCTCGAGCATCATATCTCCCCAATCTCCCCAGTACTTGTTATGAACCAATCTCCCCAGCGCTAGTTATCATCCAATCTCCCCAGTACTAGTTATCACACAAGCAGCCCAGAACTAGTTATATCCAATCTCCCCAGTACCAGTTATCAACCAATTTCCCCAGTACCAGTTATCACCCAAGCACCACAGTACTAGTTATCACCCAATCTCCCCATTACTAGTTATCACCCAATCTCCCCAGTACCAGATATCACCAAAACCCACAAGTACAGATATCACACCAAGCTCAACACAACTCAACTCTATTGTCTCGTAAAAAAAAGGGGGATGTCATCCACCTCCTCCTGTCATCCACCTCCAACTGCCAGGTACTGTCTTGTGCCATGCATCACATTGTGACATGCGACCGTTCCTATTATTGTTGACACGTCTGTGGTTGGGTTTGTTCGGCGCCGAGCAAGGAATGCCTAGGGGTCAGTGTTCTACCTGAATATTGTCATGGCCGAATAATTCCGCCCCATCATAAACAGATGCATTAGGGCCAGGGGGTGGGTGGTGCATATCCCAAGTGAAGCTTAACAATGACAAATGTGTCTTCACATGCTATTACAGAGACTTCTTGGGGTAAGGATTTACAAACCAACAAACACAGATAAGACCTTGTTTTTTCTTCTTAAAAATACAGGTGGATCGACTTTCATGTTTACGGAGGTGCCTCTTTTGGGACAAAATTGTTGAGAGGGTTCCACTTGACAATGTTCTACCTCTACGAGCCATCCAGATAACCAATATTGACATTTTAAGTAAAATCCGTGAGAAATTAAAACAGCGATCTCCTGCCAACCGGGAACCGTCTGGTCTTGCACTTCCAAGTCCTATGTAGTTTGGTCTTCCACTTCCATGTCCTATGCAATTTGGTCTTGCACTTCCAAGTCATAATAAATCTTGTCTGGCCCTTTCATGTCCTCGCTAGTCTGGCCCTTCCAAGCCCTCTGAAATCTTGTCTTGCACTTCCAAGGCCTCTGTCATCTCGTTTTGCGCCCCCATGTCCTCTGTACTCTGGTTTAGTCCCTCCTACTGAAGGATGAGAACCGCCAATTTGAGTTAACTGACCAAGTTTCTGTCATCGCAAGACATGATGACCTACGCAAAGGTCAAGGTAGTTGTCACCCGTGCTATTTCTAACATTGTTTCTTGGCTATCTGCCCGTGCCATCAAATTCCTCCAAGCGTCACCTGAAGACATGGTCGACCACCATAAACAACTTGATGTATCTACACAGCTTTAAAACAGCGACGTCAACGCTGATGCAATATGGAGTTGATGGGCGGGGCCTCCTGGAGCAGCTTAAGAGAAAAACAAAATAGGGAGGAGCTTTACCAATGCATGCGATGGTCGAAGGGGTGGGAGGTGGGACATTTATCTCTTACAATTAATTATTTTTTTAGGAAATGAGTAAAACAAATTAAGATCAAACCTAAAAAACCAACGCAACGAAACAACGAATGTTCGTCAGTGAACAAACAACGGAAAAATGGAATTATTCTTTATTTTAAAAAGCACTTAGCTGACAATTTTTATCCGAGATGGCAGCAAAAGAATCGTGACTGAAAATAAGTGGGTGAGAGATTAAATAGGGAAGTGGGAATAAAAGAAGATAAGTTAGTCCACTGCGATTGTTTGTGACGTGGAGGGACAGCGCTAGGCTCAAGCTGTGAATGAAGACATTACGTTCATGCCATGTGGTGTTAAGGTTCCATAGGTCAGGATAAGCTTGTTCTCCAAATTCATCTGGATGCTAATAACGATCGCACTAATCGTAAGGTCCGCCGCGTCCTTGTGATCGCTTCTATTGAAGTGTTTAGAGACGGGACACTGCTAATCTTGCGTAATATTACACTTACACACTCACCCACACCCACCCACTCACCCACAACCACCCACCCATTCACACCCCCCCCCCCCCCCCCCCCCACCCCCCCCCCCCCCCCCCCCCCCCCCCCCCCCCCCCCCCCCCCC